AGAGAGAGAGAGTGGCAGAAGCTTTTGGGATCCTTGGGAAGCCGAGGACCTCGAAGGGAAAAGCGTTGCATCGCCCGCGAAGGAACTGCAGCAAAGCAGCAGCGAGAGGACAGAGTTTTCGTTTGGGACCTGATCGAATTTGATCGAGTTTGTCCTAGACACGCCGGAGCGATGAACAACGGCAACAACCTGCAGCAGCAGGGTCAGGGTCCCCCCCAGCAGCCGCAGCCAGCGCAGCCAACGCAACCTCCACCGCCTCCACTGCCGCCTCCAGGTGGACCACCGCCCGCAGCTAACCAACAGCAGAGCAGCGGCGGCGGAGGAGGAGCAGTAGCGGCAGCTCCCCATGGTGGCGGACAGGCAGTAGCAGCGGGAAACCAGCCAGCAGGGGCGGCGGGAAACCAACAGGCGGCGGGACACAACAACGCGCCTCCGGCAGCAGGAGGAGGAGACCAGAACGCGGGCGGAGCCGCGCCAGCCGGGCTGGGAGGCCCACCTCCCCCCATCAACCCTGTCCAGCTACTGCTGCAGATGTCTGTACTGCTAAAAGAGCAAAACGACCGACTCGGCAACCTGGAGCTCAGGATGCAGCAGCAGCAGCAGCAGCAGCAGCGGCAGCAGCAGCAGCAGCACCCGCAGGACCAGCAGCAGCAGCAGCACCAGCAACAGCAGCCTGGCCACCTCCCCCCTGGCGGCCTCCAGCAGCAAGGTCAGCCCCAGCCCATCAATCTCCCTCTAGGTGGCCAGATCGTGCTACAGCCCCAGCAAGCGCAAGCTCTGGGCCAAAACATGAACGTGTCGAACAAGGCCCTAAACACCCATGTACAGAAAGAATGGTTTCGCCGCGATACGAAGGCATGGGGAGCCGAGTCCGCGGCGACGCTGCTTCTGCTGCGCGGCGGGTGGTTCGTTAGCACCACGCTGTCAAAGAACGCAATCGCCCAGCTGCTGCGCAAAGTGGCCTATCCCGACGCCGAAATGATCGATTCGCTGATGACCCTCGCCAACGTCGACATCGCCAAGTTCTCCCCACCCCTCCCTACGGGGTGGACCCCGCAGCCACGCGACTTCATCGTTCACCTCGAGACGTTCGTGAAAGCATTCTTCGCCGTGTTGGACCATGGCACATACGCCGCAGGCGAACCATCGACCGGTTGCAGGCAACAGTTGAAAGCCGAAGTCAGCCGCGTTGTGTCCGACGCCCGGGACTACCTCAGCCTTCATTCAGCGGAGATCACGGGTCAAGAAGCAGCGGTGAAGACGCGCCTGATCACCGACACCAACACCGACATCAACGAGTATCTCGGGAACGTCTCGGACTTTGGCGTCGCGACCCGCGCCGACCACGACATCTCCCCGCCGGCAGAGGACGACGTGCAACCCGTCCCCCCCCGCGCGTTTTCGCGGCTGCGTGGTCTCACCGCGGAAGGCAGCGCCAACGCCATCGTCAGAAAGCTCAACAACGGCCTGGCCGGGCTCCCGCAACCACAGAAGAGGAAAGCGTCAGCGAGCAGCGCCACGAGCGGACATATAGCATCCCGGCCGCGGAGAACCGCCGCACCCGTCGCCAACCAACACGCGGTGGCGACACTGTCCTCGTTCCAGCAGGACCTCCTCACGTGGGGAACCCCCCACCGCGCGTTTCACTCCCACTGTAAAGGGCAAAAGTGTACCCGCCCGCTCTGCACCCTCAACCACGTACAGGTTCACCCCAGCGTCCCCCCCCCGGTCCGCCGCCCGGTCCGCCGCCGACAGCGCCAGCCCGGGCCCCCACCCCCGCGACCGCCCTTGCTCCTGCCCCCGCCCCCGCCCCCGCCGCATCACGCCCCGTGGTCGCCCGTTACAGCAACAACTACAGGCCACACGGAGCAGCAGGAACCAACTCCTGACAATACGGGCCCCATCCAGAGGTGGGGCCAACGCGGCTGAGGGGGGCGGGTGGCACCACGGTAGCAGCTTTTGTAGACAGGAGCAGGACCGTGGCGCTAACTGAAGCGCCTCTTCCCGGGTTGGTGGCACCGAACGTGTTCTACGGTGAGAGAAGAAGTACCCGCCCGACTGAATCAAGTACCAATAGAGAGGAACATGAAATTAATGCAGAGCCAGAGTTGATAGGCCGATCTCACCAAGGAGTAAAACAACCGTGCACTTTAAGAAGTACCAGCCAAAATAATTCACGCACCAATAGTGATGGAACATGAAATTACTGCAGAACCAGCGCTATTGGATCCCTCTAACCAAGGAGGACAACCGTGTGCTAAACTTGAACAAGTGAGAGAAAAAGACCCCCGTAACACGGGAGAAGAGAACAGACCCGGCGTGAACGCTGGAGAAGACCCCCGTAACAAGGGAGAAACGGACCCCTCGCACGAGGGAGAAGATCGCAAGAGTACCAGACCCAATACGTGTATTGGAGACAAAGACAGAGAAGGACCTAGTGGGAACACTAGAGACGACCCCCGTAACAAGGGAGAAACGGACCCCTCGCACGAGGGAGAAGATCGCAAGAGTACCAGACCCAATACGTGTATTGGAGACAAAGACAGAGAAGGACCTAGTGGGAACACTAGAGACGACCCCCGTAACAAGGGAGAAACGGACCCCTCGCACGAGGGAGAAGATCGCAAGAGTACCAGACCCAATACGTGTATTGGAGACAAAGACAGAGAAGGACCTAGTGGGAACACTAGAGACGACCCCCGTAACAAGGGAGAAACAGACCCCTCGCACGAGGGAGAAGATCGCAAGAGTGCTAGACACAAGACGTGTATTGGAGACAAAGATCCCTACGGCAAGAGGGACACGGATAGTGACGGGTCGGCAGCCTTGCCACCTCCTTATGGGAAGCTGCTGGCTGAAATGTGGAGAGAACAAAAGGAATGCCTCCCACGTGGCACACGAATTGACGAAAAACAGGAAATCATCCACGAACTTGCGAAGACTGGTAGCATGCTTCTGAAAACGAACGACGGAAAGTTGGGAGATGTCGCGAGGGCAATCGGCGGCACCTTGGTGTCACCGCCGCTAAACCTGAGCGACCTCGAACAACACTTCGGAACCAAAAAACGCTTCCCAGACTTAACGAATCTCGTAGACATCATAGACAACGGTGTGCCAGCGAAAACACACGACAGCCCGCCAAACCTCGAGATCGCTCTGCGATACGGAAATCACAGTACGATAGACGCCCACATGGAACTGGTGTGGAAGAAGCTGATAGACGACGTCGAATAGAACAGATGCTTCGTATTCAACGTAGCGGACGCAATTTGCATGAAGGGCGTACGCGTCTCGCCGCTAGGAGCAGTGGTAGGAAAAAAAATCAGAATCATCAACGATTTTCCTTTTGACCCCAAGCTGCTGCGCGGACAGAAGGGAGGAGTCAACGTCGATACGGTATCGGAAGAAGTACCCGACTGTTTGTGCGGAGAGACTCTACCTGCTTTCCTTTCTGAAATAACGCGCTTGAGAGTCAAATGGCCTGACAAGAGGATACTAGTGTCCACGGCGGACGTGAACAACGCTTACCGAAACGTGAGAG